CCTGGTTAAACCCCAGATGGATCGTAAGCAGGCTAGCCTAAATGTTTATAACCGGCGAATATGTTCCATTAGGAGTGTCCACGTTTCGCAAGCGTAGAGAAGGGAGGGGAATGTCCGTGGCCGAGAAGACCTGAAGCTTAGTGCGGAGCGACAGACCAGGTAGCTTCCACACAGCGTTACGCAACCGATAAAAAGATATTGCCGCTCGACTGATTCGGAGTAAGATCTCTGCTGTTAAACTGGAGCCGGTCATAAGCACACTGCCCAGGTATGGGAAACTCTTCACTCTCTCCACAACTGCCCCATCACCGATTTGGAGTTGTGGGGGTGGATTGTCCGATGGTACAAAATACCCAGGCAGGTGCTTAGTTTTGGTGGGGCTGATGGTAAGGCCCCATTTCTAAGTGGCACGCTCCAATCTCAGCAGCAGCGTCTCCAACTCCTCCTCTGAATGAGCAACTATTACCAAATCATCGGCATACATGACGTGGTTGAGCAATAGGGAGCCATCCCTTGACCGCACCCGGGCATCGATCAGCCTCCCATTATATCTATACCAAATGGAGATTCCCCCGGTACAGCCATTGAAGGCTTCACGAACTACGTGGTCAAAATAGATGCTAAATAATGTGAGAGCCAGAGAACATCCCTGTCGCACCCAAAGGTGTAGAGGGAATGGCTCTGACTCCCGGCCACGTAGTTTTACCCGGGCCCGCTCACCATCATGAAGGTCCCTAATGATCGCGAGCAGAAGGTCAGGGACTCCAAAAGCACGAAGAACAGCCCAGAGGCAAGGCCTACTGATGGTATCATAGGCCTTAACCAGGTCAATAAAGCAGATATGTAGGTCTTGTTGGAATTCCCTACACCTCTGCTGTAGCAGACGGACAGAAAATATGGCATCTGTGCAGGACCGCCCTTTCCTGAAACCACATTGGGGCTCCGCAAGCCTCTCCTCAGCGTACCTGACAAGGCGATGTTGAATAATCCTTGCCAGGACCTTTCCCTGCACACTGAGGAGTGAGATGCCCCTGTAGTTGTTACAGTCTGTGCCATCTCCCTTCTTAAAGAGGGGGACCACCAGGGCATCCTTCCAATCCTGCGGAACCCGTCCAGTGGTCCAGAATGTTGTTATGATGTCATATAGGGCAGTCTGTGCACAAATGCCACCCTTCCTCAGCATTTCGCTTGGGAAATCATCTCTACCCGGTGCCTTTCCTGGTCTCAGACTCTAGATCGCCTTCAGTACTTCCTCAACAAAATGGCACCTCAGTTAAAGCCACTCACTGGAGGTAACATCTTCCAATATTTGAGGCACTGCAGCCTCAGCAGGGTCATCCCCACTTTGTGCCACGATGTTTTCCTGGCTGAGGGATTTCCCCTCCCCCAGGACCTCACAGAAATGCTCAGAAAATCTGCAAACCTGTTCCTGGGGGTCGGAGATTGGATCACCGTTTTTTCCCCTAATGATGGTAATAGGTGTGGCGCTGCAGGTTACTTTTTTGATGGAGTTAAATAGAGATTTGTGATCGCGGGCCACTGAGGCAGACTCCATGTCCTTAGCAACCCGCGACCACCACCCATCCTTGCAGCGCCTCACGGCTCTCCGAACCTCCCAGCGAAGGCTCCGGTAAGCCTCCTCATTCTCTGATGTGGGATTCTGTAGCTGATGACAGTGGGACTATCGCTTTTTCTCAACCATCCTGAACACCTCCTCTGTCAGCCAGGGTCTCTGGGGAGGTCTGGACCGCGTACCCAAAGCAGCCATTGCAGCTGCATGAGTCACAGTCCTAAACCTCGCCCATTTACCCTCGACATCAGGAGGAGTGGGGGACGATGCCAACCCCAGCTGCAAGCGATGATGAAATTCTCACTTGCAACTTTCATCAGATAGCTGAGACCACGCCACTTTAGGTTGGAATGGGGTCCTGGGTGTACACCCACCACCGGAGTGGAAGAATGGCAGGCGCATCTTACAGATGACTAGTCGATGGTCAGAGGGCAGATCAGCTCCACGGTAGGTCCTGGTGTCAAAGACATTGGCTCGCATCCGCTGGTCCGTCACTATGTAGTCCAGCAGATGTTCTTGCTTGGACCCGGCATGCATCCATGATGTGTGGATGCGCCGATGCCGGAACAGCGTGTTGGTAATTACAAGCCCATGGGCTGCACAAAAATCTAGCAGCCTCCTACCGTTGGTATTGAGCTGATCTGGCCCATTCCCTTCAATCACTCCAGACTAGGTGCCAGCATCATGACCAACTCGGGCATTGAAGTCACCCAACATGATGACTCTATCCCGAGGTGCCACTTTAGCCAGCACCTGTGGCAGGAGGTCATAGAAGGCATCTGACTCATCGGCTTTGCCTGCATCCCTCCAGGGATGTTTGTCTTCGGTGGGGGCATAAGTAACCACGACCACCACTCCTCGCCTCCGGTTGATGGGAAGGCGAGCCCAAAGTAGCCTGGGACTTACAACTTCCCACACCTCACCGCCACGCTCCCACGCCCCCTTCATTCTTTTGTTCAAAAGAAGAGCCACACCCTGTTGTTTGGCAGTCTGCTGCCCCGAGTAGAGGACTGTCCACCCCTCATGGTGGCAGGAGCCAGAACTGGTCCACCGGACCTCCTGAATGCCACAGAGATCCAGGCGGTACCGGTCCAACTCCCGACAGAGGAGTGGCAGCCTCTCCTCCGCAGTGAGTGTTCGAACATTCCACGTGGCCATCCGTAGTGGCTTTTCGTTGTTTCTGGAGGAGCCCCGAGAGTATAGATTCAATCTCCTGGCTCCGCCATTTGGGGTTTGGCCAGAAGACGTCATAGTCGCCTGTCCCCCGGGGCCTCCGGCACAAGCTTATTAGTCACATATTTCAGTTTAACTCGTGGTTTAGTGGTAATTAATTGAAGGTGGAGGGGTTACCAGCCCCTCGCACCCGTCCAGAGCCCCCGTTTAGCCACTGTGGTGGACACAGAAGCCATGAGGGGAGAAGCCAATGGGAATTGGCCCTCCCCCCACAGCACTGTCCACGACAGAGTTGCCCGTCCGGCACCGCGAGGAGGTAGGGGGTTGTTTTGCCGGACTACACACAACAACAACAACCGCCATTCACCACTAAGTGGCGGTGACGTCACCACGACGCTTGTGCCAGGCTATGTGCACCCTGAGGCCACGTGAAGTGTCGAACGCTCGCTGGCAGGAGGTCACGGGGCAGACCCAGGTGCCACGGGTCGACTGACTGAGATGACTGGCTGATGCACCACCTGTGCCCCCTACTGTCCCAACCTGCTGTGCTTTAGCCACCCGGCGTTCCGCTTGTTGTTGTGAGTGTCGCTCCTCCGCCCTCCGTTGTTGTTGGAGGGCGACTGCCTCCAACTGCCCAGCAGCGTCCTTCACGAGCGTCCTCCACAGAGGCCGATCTTGACACCGCTGGTACCAGTCATCGGCAAGTCCACTCAGCTCCACGTCCTCCTGTACCACATCACTCCATCTCTTCTCTAGCCCGTGCCGCGCCCGTCTAGCCCCCTCAATCCGGTCGAACAAAAGCTGTTTCGGCATGTGGTGGCTGGGCATGCGAGCTACATGACCCAGCCATCTCAGCCTTGCCCGCCGGAGGAGCTCACTGATGGGACCTTGCCCAGATCTTTCAAGGATTTGTGACCTCCTCACACAATCCAGTCTGGTTAAACCCAGGATGGATCGTAGGCAGGCTAGCCTAAATGTTTCTAACCGGCGAAGATGTTCCATTAGGGGGGTCCACGTTTCGCAAGCGTAGAGAAGGGAGGGAATGACCATGGCCGAGAAGTCCTGAAACTTAGTGCGGAGCGACAGACCAGGTAGCTTCCACACAGCGTTACGCAACCGATGAAAAGATATTGCTGCTCGACTGATTCGGAGTGAGACCTCTGCTGTTAAACTGGAGCCGGTCATAAGCACACTGCCCAGGTATGGGAAACTCTCCACTCTCTCAACAACTGCCCCATCACCGATTGGGAGTTGTGGGGGTGGAGTGTCCGATGGTACAAAATACCCAGGCAGGTGCTTAGTTTTGGTGGGGCTGATGGTAAGGCCCCATCTCTTAGTGGCACGCTCCAGTCTCAGCAGCAGCGTCTCCAACTCCTCCTCTGAATGAGCAGCAATTTCCAAATCATCGGCATACATAACGTGGTTGAGCAATAGGGAGCCATCCCTTGACCGCACCCGGGCATCGATCAGCCTCCCATTATATCTGTACCAAACTGACACACACACACACACACTGACACACACACAACACACACACTGACACACACAACACACACAGACACACCGACACGCACAGACCCACACAACACACACACAACACACACACTAACACACACAGACACACACACACCGACACGCACAGACACACACAACACACACACACATTGACACACAACACAGACCCACACACACTGACACACACACACTGACACACACACAAACAACACACACTGACACAGACAACACAACACACACAGACACACAGACCCACACACACTGACACACACACACCGACACGCAGACACACTGACACACACAACACAACACACACAGACCCACACACACTGACACACACACACACCGACACGCAGACACACACACAACACACACACTGACACACACAACACATACTGACACACACAACACACACAGATCCACATCGACACGCACAGACACACACACAGACACACACAACACACACTGACACACATAACACACACTGACACACACACAACATACACTGACACACACACAACACACACACTGACACACAACACAACACACACACTGACACATACAACACACACAACACATACTGACACACACAACACACACAGACCCACACCGACACGCACAGACACACATAACACACACTGACACACACAACACACACTAACACACACAACACGCACAGACCCACACCGACACGCACAGACACACAGAGCCACACACAACACAATAAACAATCCGTTCTTACCAGACACGATGTAGATTCATGACGAGCAGCAGGAGCAGAATGACCATCTTCGCGTGAAACTCGACACGGCTGGCTACTGCAGTTGTCATAGACCCATCACTCTCGCCTCCCTCTCTCTCTCTGTGTCTCTCTCTGTGTGTCTCTCTGTGTGTCTCTCTCTGTGTGTCTCTCTGTGTGTCTCTCTCTGTGTCTCTCTCTGTGTGTCTCTCTCTGTGTGTCTCTCTCTCTGTGTCTCTCTCTGTGTGTCTCTCTGTCTCTCTGTGTGTCTCTCTCTGTCTCTCTCTCTGTGTCTCTCAGTGTCTCTCTCTCTGTGTGTCTCTCTCTCTCTCTCGGTCTCCTTCTCTCTGTGTGTCTCTCTCTCTGTGTCTCTCTCTGTCTCTCTGTGTGTCTCTCTCTGTGTCTCTCTCTGTGTGTCTCTCTCTGTGTGTCTCTCTCTGTGTCTCTCTCTGTGTCTCTGTGTGTCTCTCTCTGTCTCTGTCTCTCTCTGTGTCTCTCTCTATGTCTGTCTGTCCGTCTCACATCATCACCAACCTCCTCGTCCGCACCCCCAGCACTCTGTTCGCTATCGCAGCGACGTGAAGAGCGCCCTGGTGACCACCCCGAGCAGATCTGAACTCAGTGGCTGCTGATGTTCGCGGACGTTATGGACGCACGATGATGATGATGATAATGATTATTCCTACTACTACTACGATATCGCTCTAGCAGGCAACCACAGCACCACCACTGCTTGTTGTTTGTGGTGATTGCTCCTGCCGCTGCTGCTGTTGATGTTAGTTCGGATGTCAACAACAATTCTGGTTTCCAGTGACCCCCCCTCTCTTCCTCCTTCACCCACCTCCTCCTCCTCCACCTCCTTCCTCAATCCCCTTGCCCCCCCCCCCGCCCCCAGCGACGAGACGACACGCAGCAGAGCTGCCCCAGCGCCGCTCGTCAGCACTCGCCACAAACATTCATCCACAACACCTCGTGTTGGTGACGGTGGTGGTGGTGGTGACGGTGGTGGTGGTGATGACGGTGGTGGTGGTGACGGTGGTGGTGAAGGTTGTAACGACTTCTGCTGCTGGCAAGGGCTGTCGGGTTATATCGGCAATGGCTGCTTCTAGCACGCCACTCTGAATACCAATGAGGGTGACATCCTTTGTGTTGTGTGTGAGAGAGCCTGCCGTGTGTCTGTATGTGTGTCTGTGTGTGTGTCTGTGTGTCTGTGTGCGTGTCTGTGTGTCTGTCTGTGTGTGTGTGTCTGTGTGTGTCTGTCTGTGTGTGTGTCTGTGTGTGCTTATGACCGGCTCCAGTTTAACAGCAGAGGTCTCACTCCGAATCAGTCGAGCGGCAATATCTTTTCATCGGTTGCGTAACGCTGTGTGGAAGCTACCTGGTCTGTCGCTCCGCACTAAGCTTCAGGTCTTCTCGGCCACGGTCATTCCCTCCCTTCTCTACGCTTGCGAAACGTGGACCCCCCTAATGGAACATCTTCGCCGGTTAGAAACATTTAGGCTGGCCTGCCGACGATCCATCCTGGGTTTAACGAGACTGGATTGTGTGAGGAGCTCACAAATCCTTGAAAGATCTGGGCAAGGTCCCATCGGTGAGCTCCTCCGGCGGGCAAGGCTGCGATGGCTGGGTCATGTAGCTCGCATGCCCAGCCACCGCATGCCGAAACAGCTTTTGTTCGGCCGGATCGAGGGGGCTAAACGGGCGCGGTACGGGCTAGAGAAGAGATGGAGTGATGTGGTACAGGAGGACGTGGAGCTGAGTGGACTTGCCGATGACTGGTACCAGCGGTGTCAAGATCGGCCTCTGTGGAGGAGGCTCGTGAAGGACGCTACTGGGCAGTTGGAGGTAGTCGCCCTCCAACAACAACGGAGGGCGGAGGAGCGACGCTCACAACAACGAGCGGAGCGCCGGGTGGCTAGAGCACAGCAGGTTGGCACAGTAGGGGGCACAGGTGGTGCATCAGCCAGTCATCTCAGTCAGTCGACCCGTGGCACCTGGGTCTGCCCCGTGACCTCCTGCCAGCGGGCGTTCAACACTTCACGTGGCCTCAGGGTGCACATAGCCTGGCACAAGCGTCGTGGTGACGTCACCGCCACTTAGTGGCGAATGGCGGTTGTTGTTGTCTGTGTGACAGGGATGTCCTCTGGCTCCCACATTATTTAACATCTATTTTGATCACGTAGTTCGTGAAGCCTTCAGTAGCTGTACCGGGGGATACTCCATATGGTACAGATATAATGGGATGCTGATCGATGCTCGGGTGCGGTCAAGGGATAGCTCCCTATTGCTCCACCACGTTATGTATGACGATGATTTGGTAATAGCTGCTCATTCAGAGGAGGAGTTGGAGACGCTGCTGCTGAGACTGGAGCGTGCCACTAAGAGATGGGGCCTTACCATCAGCCCCACCAAAACTAAGCACCTGCCTGGGTATTTTGTACCATCAGGCACTCCACCCCCACAACTCCCAATCAGTGATGAGGCAGTTGTTGTGAGAGTGGAGAGTTTCCCATACCTGGGCAGTGTGCTTATGACCAGCTCCAGTTTAACAGCAAACGTCTCACTCCGAATCAGTCGAGCGGAAATATCTTTTAATCGGTTGCGTAACGCTGTGTGGAAGCTACCTGGTCTGTCGCTCCGCACTAAGCTTCAGGTCTTCTCGGCCACGGTCATTCCCTCCCTTCTCTACGCTTGCGAAACGTGGACCCCCCTAATGGAACATCTTCGCCGATTAGAAACATTTAGGCTGGCCTGCCTACGATACATCCTGGGTTTAACCAGACTGGTTTGTGTGAGGAGCTCACAAATCCTTGAAAGATCTGGGCAAGGTCCCATCGGTGAGCTCCTCCGGCGGGCAAGGCTGCGATGGTAGGGTCATGTAGCCCACATGCCCAGCCACCGCATGCCGAAACAGCTTTTGTTCGGCCGGATTGAGGGGGCTAAACGGGCGCGGCACGGGCTAGAGAAGAGATGGAGTGATGTGGTACAGGAGGACGTGGAGCTGAGTGGACTTGCCGATGACTGGTACCAGCGGTGTCAAGATCGGCCTCTGTGGAGGAGGCTCGTGAAGGATGCTACTGGGCAGTTGGAGGTAGTCGCCCTCCAACAACAACGGAGGGCGGAGGAGCGACGCTCACAACGAGCGGAGCGCCGGGTGGCTAAAGCACAGCAGGTTGGCACAGTAGGAGGCACAGGTGGTGCATCAGCCAGTCATCTCAGTCAGTCGACCCGTGGCACCTGGGTCTGCCCCGTGACCTCCTGCCAGCGGGCGTTCGACACTTCACGTGGCCTCAGGGTGCACATAGCCTGGCACAAGCGTCGTGGTGACGTCACCGCCACTTAGTGGTGAATGGCGGTTGTTGTTGTTGTGTCTGTGTGTGAGAGAAGAGCCTGCCGTGTGTCTGTGTGTGTGTCTGTGTGTGTCTGTGTGTGTGTCTGTGTGTCTGTATGTGTGTGTCTGTGTGTGTTCCTGGTGCAGCACACACACACACAAGTGGTGTGTGTGTTTTTGGTGCAGCACACACACACAAGCAGTGTGTGTGTGTGTGTTCCTGGTGCAGCACACACACACACAAGCGGTGTGTGTGTGTGTGTTCCTCGTGCAGCACACACACACAAGCGGTGTGTGTGTGTTCCTGGTGCAGCACACACACACAAGCAGTGTGTGTGTGTTCCTGGTGCAGCACACACACACAAGCGGTGTGTGTGTGTGTTCCTGGTGCAGCACACACACACAAGCAGTGTGTGTGTGTGTTCCTGGCAGCAGCACACACACACACAAGCAGTGTGTGTGTGTGTTCCTGGTGCAGCACACACACACACAAGCAGTGTGTGTGTGCTGCACCAGGAACTCATTGCCACGTTTTGTTTAGGTGACAAACCTATTTCGGGTGGTGGCGGGTTCACGACACATGTATATTTACGCAATCGAACCCGCAAAAGTCTTCGTTATGATTGAATAACCCCGTGCCCTGAATTTTTGGCCCACCTTGTGTATAGAAGAGAGATACCAGCATCTTCATTTAGACTGGGAAGGCAGTCTGATGTCACAAAAATAAATAGGAATTTCGTCGGCTCATCAGATTAATTTCCCAGTCTGAATAAAGGTGCAGCCCTGCAAGTGCACACCTGGATAGGTGAAGTGGAACGTGCTATGCGATTGTGTTTAGTTTGAGAGCTGCCATGATTCCTCTCCTCGTCTCTCACAACCCTCCTGCCAACTCGGAGCAATGGCCAGCCTCGTCATCTGCTTTTGTGTATGATAATAAAAAACAAACAATGGCAAGTTCAGGTGTCGTGTTTTTGATGTTGTATATTCGCTCGGATTAAACACACATTCCTGTCGAAGGAATCAAACTATTCATAATAAGCGTAGACATTGGAGAAAATAGTTTGAGCGATTTTAAATGAGCACTGTCAGTCTTCAGCTCCGGTCAGCACGGTTGGCTACGCAAGTTGGGAATAAAGTTCATCAGACATACTTTATCCCCGACTGCCACTTCTTCGGTGTTACGGTCTGTTATTAAACGTCTTCTGAACTTCTTCCGCCGTTTCAATTCCACTCAATTTTTTTTTTACTCGGAAAATCCCGTGTAGCCAGTTAGCCAACTAGCTTCTGTGGCAAGTGTCCACACGCTAGGAATCACGGAGTTATCCCATGGGATACTTTTTTGCAAGTATCAAAGTACGAGAAATAATAAGAGGTTTTACCCTTTCTGGCAATAAAACAGGTGTTAAGGTGTTCACACACCAAACACAGACCTTTTTGCAAGAAACCACACCTATTTGTTCTGAACATGCAAACAAACTCTGCCATATTCCTATTTTTCACACTGGCAAAGGCTATCGCATGATAGAGCCGCTCACCCCGAGCTAGAAGTGCTCCGATACGTGTGGCATTGCCTTTGTACTGCTCGCATTTTGCTGTTGTTCTCTGGCCTGACACTGGTAGTGGTGAGACTGTGCAATGAAGAAGGCTGCTGCTGTCTCTCGTGTTGGCCAATCAGTTTCAAAGACAATGCATCAAATATTCTCAGAGCCAAGTGTTTGTTTGCATCTTCACCACAGGTACTGTGTGTGGTGAATGCAGTACTTGATTCCTTGCAGAGGGTCAAACCTAATCTGTTTCATAAACGGAGTTATCGTTAGGGTGGAAAGGAGCCCAGCCAGCATGCAGCCAGGAAACTCGAGGCGTACATCATTTTTGTTTAATAGCAGTATGATAAATTACTT